ATATACTTTTTTTTTTATAGTTTATTGTCAAGTTGGTTTCCGTATAATACCCAGTGCTAATCCCAACAAGTGCCCTCCTCCTTGAACAATATAAATATACTTAATGTTATAAAACTGTAAACTTTAAAATGGTTAAGATGATGAATTTTATATATCCATTACAATGAAAAATCTTAATTACATAGACTTTAAATAAAAGAAAATCTTAACTATCAATGAACTAACGTTTGAAAATATGTAAATACAGCATAGATTTATGTGTAATTATTCAAATGGCCTTTTAATTTAGCTTCCATCTAAAAGATAAGTAGCTTAAAAATTAAAAGACAAATAGCTTAAAATAAGTCACTCTGGAGGCACCTGCCTGAGGGGCTCAGTTGAGTGTCCAAATCTTGATTTTGGCTTAGGTCATTATCTCATGGTTCACAGGATCAAGCTCTGGCATCAGGCTCCACTATAACAGCACAGAGCCTGCTTGGGATTCTCTCTCAACCTCTCCACTGCTCACACTCAAAATAAATCTCTCTTCCCCAAGATAAACAAACATTAAAAAAAAAAAAATCACTCCAAGCTGTATGTTCAAATTTCACTGTAGAAGATTCTTGCTAATTATAAATTATATGCTCAACCAAAAAGTATTTCTGGTAAAAGAAGACAATTCAATAACTGAAAAATTTTCTTGAGATCTACTAATTACAACATAGGTCCATAACAATGATAAAAGAGAAAAGGAAAATTAAAAGTAGTTTTTCATAAAACTAATCTACTTAATTTTAAGGCATATACTTTATTCTGAGACCACATCTCTTCTGCTTTGAAACTTTCTTATGAGGGGCGCCTGGGTGGCTCAGTTGGTTGGGCATCCGACTTTGGCTCAGGTCATGATCTCACGGTTCATGGGTTCAAGCCCCACGTCTGGCTCTGTGCTGACAGCTAGCTCAGAGCCTGGAGTCTCTTTCGGATTCTGTGTCTCCCTCTGTCTCTGACTCTCCTCTGCTCACGCTGTCTCTGTCCCTCAGAAATAAATAAAAAACATTTTTAAAAATTTAAAAAAAAACTTTCTTTTGAATACTAATTTCTTTTTTTTTTTAACTTTTTTTTTTTTTTCTTTTTGAGAGACAAAGCATGAGCAGGGAAGTGGAAAAGAGAGAGAGATACAGGATCTGAAGCAGGCTCCAGGGTCTGAGCTGTCAGCACAGAGCTCGATGCGGGAATCGAACTCACAGACCACGACCTGAGCCAAAGCTGGACACTTAACCCACTGAGCCACCCAGGCGCCCCTTTTGAATGCTAATTTTATCCATTCAATAAATACGTGGTGAGCCAGTAATTCTCAGGCTGTTAAAGTGAACATGAGAAGCAAGGTGTTCACTCTATGGCAACTATCTCTTTTCTAGTGGAAAATAAGAATATCAGCAATAAAACAAAAACCTGGCCAAGATAAGTAACCTTATGTCAGTGGGAAACACTAATCTACAGCCCCCTTCCATTTTATAAATGAGAAACTGGATGCCCAAAAGGTTTCACAATTCAATAAATCCAATGCCAAAACCACCCTGTTTCTAGACTCTAAAACAACAAACTATCCGTGTGACTGAGTAGAGATTCAAATGTGATTAATCTACAGGACTCCAAATATCTCAAAGACTAATGTTTTTCCACTTTACTATGTCCTTCCAGTTCTAAGAGGATTTGATTCTATATACCTAACTTTTATAATTTGTGGAGCTATAAATTTAATGAAAAACTTAAAATCCCTAGCACAGAATTTATCAAATCTTATGCCAGCAAAAGAAATGCTACTTTCTGATAAATGATAAAGCCAAGTCCAACATTTTAGATCAAGAGGAAAGGGACACAAAAATAGTATCCACAGTAATACTGTCTTGCTGTTTCTGTGGCCTAGAAAGTACAGTAATTCTCTAGAGCACTGCTATCCCATTCACTAGAAGTTTCAGACAGCTGAAATATACAAAGGAAGTGAAAAACAAATAGTTATAATCAGCTAATTAACATTTCAAAGTACCATGATACAAAACTTGTAGTTCCAGTGAATAATCTAGGTCTGACAATAATTGACCTGACAATATAGTCTCTTCTCTCACCTCCTCCTTTCTCTACTTCTGTACAAAGGTGGGATACTAACCATATAGTATGTGCCAGACAAGTTCATAGACTTGTTCTCATGGATTCAAAAAGTTTTTCTCCACTTAAAATTAAATGCACACTTAACACAAATGTGGAGGGAAAAAAAACTTGAAGGTGTAATTATCCCCTTTCATAAAGGAAACTGAGCTACTAAAAAGTTAGAGAAACTTCCCTAAGTAAGTAGAAGAGCCAAGATACGAACCTAACTGCAAAGTTTGTAGGACTCTCATTTTCTTCCTGAGTCTGTCATAAACACAAAGTGACAGGAAAGTAGAGAGTGGATGAGGCAGGTAAAACACACAAATATGCAAAAAAATAATATTTTTCCCTAAGATATCAGAAGAATGAGACATGAAAACTACACTGGAAGAGTTCTAAGTGCTTATGACTGAACAAAGGGTTACAAAGGTTCAAAGGACAAACAACTTTTTGCTGCAGTGAGCAAGGAAGAATTCGGTGAAGATGGAGGAAATTGAGGATTTAGACCACAGAGGAAAACTTTATTTTAGGCAGAAGAAAACTTCAGAGAACAAAGTCGGGGAAAAGAGGAGGAAGACATAGGGCATTTATGTTTAGAAAAAGCAAAAATATCAGCCCTGCTGAAGCAAAAAAATTATGTAAGAGGGCAGTTAAATATAAGGCTGAAAAGGTAGGACTAGGTCAGACTTCAGACCACCTGGTGAAACTCCCTATTTACAGCACGAAGATATAATTAAACTTTTACATATTCGTTATCTTCATGAAATAAGAATGCACATGCCCTATTAACTTGAATGAATTTATGCTTTTCAGCTAAGGAAAGGAGTCTAGGACAGCACCTGATACAAGATGATTAAATGCTGGATCTGAATACAAACAACTGATTTTTCCCCCTATCTCCTGGCAACCAGACTTAAGTACAAAGAGATGGAGAAGTCAGGAAAGGTAGGCTGAATCTACACCTAGACTGCTAAAATTTATGCCAGCTACTCAATATTATTAGGGGAAAAAAATAGAACCCACAAAACTTTACCATAGGACGGAATAGTCTGAACAAAGGGGAATAATGGCAAAACTGCCAATATCAAAAAAATTCTCCTTGTGTTGTCAGGACTAGCTTAAAAGGAAAAAAAGCTACAACTGGATTTTTTTTAAGGAGCTTTATCTTTAATTTCATTTTAAAATCCAAATTAGAATCTGGAAAAATGTTCATTTAGACATCTATCCTGAAGCTACTGGTAAGTTAAAATCCCAAACACCTACTCTATTCAAAACCACCATTTCCCCCTTAAATTAGAGGGTTAAGTCCCATCCCTCTAATAAAAAGGAGACCTGCTAGATCTTTAAGCGTTACCTGGATAATGATACCACTCTCTATTTTTGTTCTAACAGGCCAGGGTGGGCTACCATAATGCCCTCTCTTTCCCATACAAGAGTAGGGATCCCCTCAAAAGAAATTTACAGCAGATCTCCTCAGTTCAAAAACTATCTAAAGCTGTTAGACATAAAAAGAAGCATTCCATAAAAAGTGGAAGTAGAGTGGGGGAGTACACTGAAACCAAGCAAATTCCTATTTATAAAAGTTAAACTGAAAGGAAACTTGGAATCTAGCCCAAAGCTCTTATTTTACACATTAAGAAACTGAGGCTCAGGGCAGTGGTGATTTGCCCAGGGCAAATGCTTCCCTATAAAGGTGTTAAGAGTTTGTTACCAGCCACAGTAGCACTTAATCACATTCTAACAGTTACTTAAATGTTTATGAGATTAAGTACCTGGTGTGCAAAAAACACAATCTTCACCCCCCTCTGCACCCCTTCAGTGCCTTGTGCCATGGCCCAGAGCTACTCAGAAAATCGTGAAGAATTCCCAAACAAATACCATTATCCTCTTTCAGCTACCACAGCCACAAAATTTATTTTATCTAAGATAAAGTGAAAGGCTGAAATGCTTAAATTTCTCAAGTTCTGACTAAACGAGCGGGATCAGCAAAACCTCAAAATTTGGGGCAGAATATGAAAGGGAATATAGTACTGCTTTTTTTTCTTTGATAGTTGCCATTTCCCTTGTATTAATGTTTTCAGTACAGGTTTTTTTGAAAAACAACTATAATAGGTGCAAAATTAACACAAATTATCAGCACTTCTGAGACACTTCGATTCATTAAACTTAGCATACCTTCGTTTCTCAAAAATAACTTGAAAATATCCTACCCGGCACAAAATATTTTTGGGAGGAAAAAAACTAAAATAACGTTCTATCAGTCCACAAATGTATTAAAACCACAAAATAGAAACAATCCTGTAAATATGCCACCAGCTAAAAAACAGTACTATCAGTCTTCTTTGGCTCATTGCTTACGGTCAAACTGTCAAAGCATTTGTTGAAGAACACGGGGAAAAGTTCTTCACCGAGTTCACAGGTGTGGGTGCATCGGATTGTACCACCACCCACACACATAACACCAGTTTGGGGAAATGCAAACACGCCACATGTACATGTTTTAACCAGGCTTAACCACGTTTAACCGAGGTACGTATTGTCAGCTCTCGTATCAAAGGTTAAAAAAAAAAAATGCAGCATATGCAAGCATACTTCAACTCATTTATAAAACCATCACCAGAAATGGCAAGGAACTGACCCGAAACGAATTCAACTGTTCTGAACCTTAAGGCCGCCGTACAAAACGGTTTACAAGGGCTGTCTTTCTAAAGTCGGGCAAAAGTCCTTTGACGAGTTTGAAAACTAATGACCGTATACTAATGAGCAAATAACAAAAGCTTAGTAGAAACTACCATGCCACCAAACCGTTCCTGTTACCACTGCCCAGGTTTTCTAAAACAAGCATTGAAAGGGAACAATAAAAAGCGTCTCACCGCAAACACAGCAAGAGAGGGACTGTCGGAAGTAAGGCAAGAGCCTGTTAATCTCTGTAAACGCCTTGGGGTCTCCGGGGTCGTAGTTGAGCACTAGGCGGCTCGCGGAAATGTAGAGAGCAGTAGCATTCACGGGGTTCATTGCAGACACTTCGACACCGTTGGCTCCCGGTTGAAAAGAAATTCCGGATCCAACTTTGTAAGCAGCCAGGGAACAATGGCGAATTTGCAACAATTCGGAGGAAATCAGAGAAGAACCACTGGCCAGAGTAGCAACCAAAATCCGCGCAAGTTTGTGGAGCTGAAGCAATACTCCCACACATGGGGCCTTGGCGCCCCTCCTTCGTCCCTGAGACTTGCAAACGAGAAAAAAAAAAAAAAAAAAAAGAGAGAAAGAGAGAGAAAGGTAGAGAAAGAAAGAGAAACCAGCGTTCGAGTTTGTCCCAGTCAGCCTCGGGGCGAAGAATGCGGCGGCTTCGGCGCTCGGGCCCGGGACTCGGCGCTCAGTCTAGCCTCGCGGCTCGGCAGGCGGCCTTCGCTGCATCTCCAGACGCGGAGGCACCTCCTCAGGGCGAGGTGAGCGGGCGCGGGAGCAGTCCCCGGCCCGGTCCGAGGGGAGGGCAGGCTTCTCACGCGCTGCAGAGTCCTTACTCCATCACAGCGCACGGCGCAGAGGTAGGAGCGACCGCAAAGAGGACGGCTCGGGCGTCGGCTTCCTCTATCTAGTGCACCAAGCCGCGGCGGCGGCGAACGTTGCAGTTGCGGCTGGCGGAAGCCGCCGCCGCTCTCTCCATATCGGACGCGGGGCCGGACTGCGCCTGGCTCTCTGCCCCGGCGGTTGCAGCCCCGCGGTTCCCTGAGATGGCGAAGCGGGCAGGAGAATCCCCCACCCGCTAGGGGAGGGCCGAGGAGGAAGTGCGCGGGCCGGAGGGGCCGGCGGCGGCGGCGGCGGCGGGAGGGGGCGGGGAGCAGGCCCGGCCGGGCCGCGGCGGCGCCCCTCGCTCCTCAGTCGCTCACTCCGAGGTCACCAGGCGCAAGCGCCGCCCCCTCACTGCCCGGCCATCTTCACCGTGCCGCACACACGGAGACCTCCGCCGCCAAGCACGACGGCCGCCGCCGCCAAGCACGACGGCCGCCGCCGCCCACGGCTCCCGCCCGGCCGCAACTAAGGCGAGCGCTCAGACCGCCAGGCCCCGCCGCCGCCCTGAGCATACAGCAAGGCCCCGCCGCAGGCCCCTCCCCCCGTGCCTCGCCGCCCTCACCCTGACTCCACGCGCCACTCTAACTCGGTAGGGCCCGGGCTGCTGCGGCCTTAATGAATCCCGCGGGCTGTGCGGCGCCTCAGGCCCTGCCGGCGACGACGACCGTTACCCCAACGGGCAAAGCCACTGTCATCCCCGAGACTCCCCCGCCGCCGTCGTCGCTAGCGCCCGCACGCATGCGCAGATCACACTCTCACCCCTCCCCCCCCGCCCTTTCCTTTCCCTTCGCTTCCCTTTTCCCCTGCTTCTCCTCTAAGAGCCCCCTCCACACCCTCACAGAGCTACCGGCTCGCTCCGCGCATGCGCATTCCACTATCCTGCTCCGCCGCCTTTCGCCCTTACGCGTGCGCTTTGACCGCCCACCCAGAAAACCGGATAAACACAGCAGCCGGCTCAAGCCAGCCCCTCCCTGCTGCCAACCCACCCTGGCCTCACTGCGCATGCCTGGCTCTCCACTTACGGCTTTTAGAACAGCGCATGCTCTCTGCCAGCCGCCTGTTCTCTCCGCCCCTCCCCCATGCGTTCTCAAATTCCCTCTTAGGCGTGTGAGCTGGGGTGAAACATTCGTTAGTTGACCCATCCTTCCACGGTGTGGACTGTAGACTTCTTGCGCGACATTGCTTCCTCGGTGCCTGCCAACGATGAGGCCAGGATGGGTCGCGCCATGCGGCGCTCCGCCCTGGCGGCCTCTCCTCTCCCTGACTGACCACTGTGTGAGGAAATAGTTCCACACGGCCCCAAGCCCCGCCCTCGCGGCCTTTCTCCTGCAACGGCGCTTCCAAAGCACGGCTCGGGCGCTGCTGGGGCCTGCTTGCGCCCCCGGAGCAGGGAAGGCCAGCAGCAATCTGCGTGGCTGCTGGGCTAGCCGGCGTGCGAGCGACATTTGCTAGGTTAGGGTTGCGGCTCGCGTCGATGGCAGCCTGAGATCACTAAGACCCCGGCAGGCCGTCTGTAAGCGCTGGGGCACCGACCCACCTACCCTCTCCTGCCCAATGGAGCAGGGCTCTTCCCGCGGCCTCTGGTCCTTGGAGTCGGATGCACGTTAGCGGCCCGATCTTCCGGGGGCGCAGACCAGGGGCTCACTGAGCTCGTGCGGAAACACTGTTCAATTTAAAAGCAAAGCGAACCCCCCTTTTGGCTCCTTTGGACCACCTAGCCCTTCTTTGTGAACAAATCTCTTGAGGAAGCCACGGTCCTGCTTCAGAACAGACGTCCTTGAAACAAGTTTTTGCCTTTTGTTTCTGCAGGAGACCGGGACACAGAAACAAATTTTGATTTGATTCCCCTCCCCTCCAAAAGTACTGAACCGCACAAGAACCATTTTTTATCTCTGGATAACACCAAAGCTCTTCAGCATAGTTTTTTTTGCACGAAATAAATGATCTACACATGTTTGCAAAGTGAAATTTATCTTTTGGGGCACAAATACAGTTAGTTTTAGGGACTTGCTACTTAGAGTAGAAATTAATAAGAGAAGCTATAGAACTTCCAATAATTTCTTGTGCCACTTGATGACAGGTTTACTTTAGCATATCAGCATTTACATATTAATAAGAATATAACTTACTAATTTTGTTAGACAGCAAGCAGAAATTAAAGCTATGCAAAAAGTATATTTGGTCATCTTGTATCTGGAAAATGACAAGTGTTCTCAAATTTATTCGCTTTTTTAAAAGCCCCATCTTTCTTGGGTTGGTTGGTTGGTTGTTAAGTGATCTTTTCTAAGCTTACATTCAAATAAAACTGTTACATTATACAGTTCTATTTTTATTCCAGACTCTAAGTTCTTCCACAAACCACAGGTTATTTTCCTTCAGAGGAGCAACATGGAGAGAGTAAAATAATCAGTACTGTTTTCCATTCAGGCAACATAAATTAGCAGTCACCCTAGGCAAGTGATTGCTTGCAAACCCTTAACCTTGCTGATTTTCTCATAACTGGATTTTTAAAAATCACTTGAGATGTGCACAACCCAAATTAAAATTAATTTTATTGATGGTGTGTGTGTGTGAGAGAGACTTCAACCAGTGTTTTTAGCCTCTGAAATTGCTTACAACTGCTGATAGTTTATGGCACTGAGAAGCAAAGCATCTTCTCATTGAGGTATATTGCCTGTAATAACTATTTGGTTGCTGTATGCTTGCCTAGAAAGAAAATAAGTGAACTCTTTCTAGAAAATAAAGTGTTTGGATCAAATATTTAGGAGAAATCATACGTAATGTAACTCAAATCTCAAGCTATCAATTTAATATATTTTTTATATTTTATGCTTAATTATATGGAACTAAAGTGTTAGGGTTGCTAGATCTAAGGAATACAAGATGCCATTTAAAAAAAATTTTTAATGTTTTATTTATTTCTGAGAGAGCATGAACAGGGGAGGGTCAGAGAGAAAGGGAGACACAGAATCTGAAGCAGGCTCCAGGCCCTGAGCTAGTTGTCAGCACAGAGCCCGATGGGGGCTCGAACCGACAGAACCGTGAGATCAGGACCTGAGCCGAAGTCGGGTGCTTAACCGACTGAGCCACCCAGGTGCCCCTAGTTAAAAAAAAATTTAATGAGCTTTTTACTTGAGAACAGTGGGTTTTTTTTTTTTTTTTACATTTATTTATTTTTTTTTTTTAGAGACAGAGCACCAGTGGAGGAGGGGCAGAGAGAGAATGAGACACAGAATTCCAAGCAGGCTCCAGGCTCCCAGCTGTCAGCACAGAGCCAATGCGATGCAGGGCTCAAACTCCCAAACAGTGAGATAATGACCTAAGCCAAAGTGGGACGCTTAACCCACTGAGCCACCCAGGCGCCCCAATAACAGTTTTTAATTTTCAGAATTATTGCACAGATAGTACAGGCAGTTCTCATACATTCCATTTCCCCTATTATTAACATCTTATATTAGTATGGTACATTAGTCATAATCAATTAACCAATAGTAATACATTATTATTGAGTAAAATCCATATTTTATTTATATTTCTTCAGTTTTTTCCTAAATGCCCTTTTTCTGAACCAGGATTCCTCCAGGATATCGCATTACATTTAGTCACGTCTCCTCAGGCTTCTCTTGGCACCCAGTTAAATATCCATTTCAGACAACAAATACTTCTTTCCTTCTTATTGTCTGTATTTCCTACCCATTTTGAGCTAAAGCTCCCCTTTACATCTTCCAATGTCGCCCACTGCTTGCCTCTCTTATTGCACTTACCAAACTACATGGCAATTGTTGGTTTAGCCCTGCCTTCTTCCCTGTCATACTGTAACTGCTAGAAGGTTTCTGCAGAGTTTCTCCTTCTTTGCCTTTTATCATCAGTGCCTCGCATAGGGCTTGACATATAATGAGTAACTTGGTAATTGTTACAACAGTGATAATTACTAGAAATGCAATAATGTGAGTAAACTCCCCAGTACAGTGTATGGGGGCATGGACAAGTGTTTCCTTTTCCTTAGGGAGACACACAAAATGTCTTATAAATATAAAGACAGTTCTTATCTCAGCTTGATCAATGTCAATTCTAAGATCCTTAAAAAAACCAGAAGTGTGGATTGATTTGAAACACTCAGAATAATCAGTCAACAAGTATTTATTGATTGTACTTAAGCACTTTGAGGACAATGAAGGAAATGCATAAATAGTTGTAGTTATACTTTCAAAGAAAGATCAGGCTGGCAATAAGTCAGAGGGACTTTATGAGGGGTTTGGCCGTTTATAAAATTATAAAATAGTTGTTTGCCTCCCTTTTCGCTCCCCTTCACCCTCCTTTCTCTGCCCCCTACCCCCGGCCCTTTTACTTTCTCCACCAAAAACTATCCAGAAGTAATGGTCCCTCTCCCACCTTCCCAGGTTGCATTCTCCCTGATTTCCTAGTATCTCCACTCCACTGTCTTCAGCATTATATTCATCTGTTATGGAGTGAATGTTTATGCCCTCACCTGCTCTCCAAATTCATGTTGAGAAACCCCAACCACTGCATGATGGTATCAGAAAGTGAGGCCTTTCAGAGGTAATTAGGTCATAACAATAGAGCCCTCATGAATGGGATTAGTGCCCTTACAAAAGAGACTCCAGAGAGCTCCCTCACTCTCTCTGCTATGTGAGGATAAAATGGGAAAACAGCCTCATCTTTAACCCGGAAGAGAACCGTCACCAAGTGACCATGCTGGCACCCCAATCTCACATTTCCAGCATCCACAACTGTGAGCAGTAATTGTTGCTGTTTAAGCCACTCAGTTTATAACATTGTGTTACAGCCACCCAGGCTAAAACACCATCCCTAACAAATTTTAACAAGCATTTGCTATCAGTGTGGAAAGAAATCAATCTGATCAACCTCAATCTCTAGGAGAGTGGTAGTAATTTAATCTAAACTAACAGCAAATCTTCAGAGACTGGCCAAAGCAAATACCTCTTTACAGGGAACAATAAACCAGGTAAAATTAAACCAGGGCCTAATCCAAACCAGTCCTTTCATTTTCCCCTGACCACTGCCCTCTGACAGTTACCAAATCTTATCTTCTATCCTTAGCTGTGGTCATACCCCTCCCCTCCTTGGTCTTTGAGCCCCTGAAAAGAACTGCTATCCTTTGCATATCAACTCTTATTGATAATTTTTCCATGACGTTTTTCAAATCAGTACATCTATCTACTTGGTTTGTCCGAAACCATTTTTTTAGCAAGTCTAGCACCCATTTTATAGCTCAAATATTAAATTGCCTTCAGCTTCTTCCCTACCTCTAGCCCAAACAAAGCAGTTTGCTTTATTGGTCATCTGCCTAATACAGTGCCAGACACTTATTAAGGTACCCACTAAATGTTACTGTTTTTATTCCCTAGCACGCTTTCAACTCTATTCAAATGCCTATTAAATTTGTTCATTCATTTATGCAACCAACATTTATTGTCAGTTATATGCCAGGCATTCAGAATACAAAATGAATAATTCAACAGTTTCCAGCCCTCAAAGAGTTCACAGTCTAGTTGAAGTGGCAGCTAT